CTATACTCTTCTCACCTGCCAGGAGGCGCTCCTCGAGGAGGTCAACGGTGAGTGTGGTGGGGCAAACAGAGAGGAAGTGGTCCCTGACCGAGCGAAGGGAGTCAGGGAGCCGTGTGACTATGTAGTAGAGGGTGATGTACATGGAGGGGGGGGTTCTTGGCGCAGAACTCAGCAGGAAGCTCAGCGCGGTAGCGGGTGTCACTAGTGCGAAGGTGCGTAATGAGGTCAGCGACAGTGGGAAAGGCGGCGAGGGAACGGGTACGGCAGCATGAGGCGGCTAAGGGCAGCAGTGGCAGGGGAAGAGTAGCGTGCAACTACAGCGTCGTACAAGGTCTTAGCACTCTTGTACTGACTAAAGTGCGCGCGCTCAGTGGACGGCAGGTGACTACGCACAGCAAGACGGGCAGCAGCATCGCGTGTGGCCCACTGTGAGCGAACAGTGCTGTCAGCATCGGCAGCAGGGGCAGCAGAGGCGCCAGACGTGAGATCGAACAGTGAGAGACCGTCTTTCCTATCGCACTGTAGGAAAAGCTGTAGATCATCGATCCAGACCTCAAAGTCAAAAGCCCGACCCTCAGCATCAAAGGCGAGAACGCTAGGGGTAGCCATGACAGTAGTGGCAGCAGGCTAGGGGCAGCAGCAGCAGTAGCAACAGGAGGGGCGCGGCTCGGTGGTGCTCTTACCAGGGTAGGTGGGTAGAGTGCCGCAAGTGGTGGGGCAGGGCCGAGGCGCGTCGGCAGGGACGGGGCCGCTACAGGGCGGCAGAGGAGCGCCGCTCTGCTCTGCAGGGCAGGGCCGGGACAGCGGCGGCGGTCCCTGCTGTCGACGGCGACGGCAGCTGCAGGCGGCGGCTGCGGCGGCTGTGGCCCCGGCTGTGGCGGCTGCGGCTGCTGCCGTCGGCGGCTGCTGCGGCGGCTGTGGCCCCGGCTGTGGCGGTTGCGGCTGCTGCCGTCGGCGGCTGCTGCTGCTGTAGGCTGCTGCGGCGGATGCGGCCCCGGCTGTGACGGCGGCGGCTGCCTGCTGTCGGCGGCACCGGCGGTGGCGGCTCCCGCTGCTGGAGCGGCGTTGGCTGCTGCTGCAGGGGCGGCGACGGCGGGGCGGCAGGTCCGTGAGGGAGCCGAGAGGGGGCCGCGGAGGAGCCGAGAAGGGGCCGCCAAGGGCGGTGAAGGGGCCACGAAGGGCTGTAAAGGGGCCGCGAAGGACGGCGACGGGGCCGCGAAGGGGCCGTGAGGGGCCGCGAAGGGTGGCGACGGGGCCGAGAAGGGCCGCGAAGGGCGGCTACGGGGCCGAGAAGGGTGGCGACGGGGCCGCGAAGGGCGGCGATGGGGCCGAGACGGGCGGCGACGGGGCCGCGGAGGGCGGCGACGGGGCCGCGGAGGGCGGCGACGGGGCCGCGAAGGGGCCGCGAGGGGCCACGAAGGGGCCGCAAGGGGCCTGAAGGGGCCGCGAAGGGCCGTGAAAGGGACCGTGAGGGGCCGAGAGAGGGGCCGCTACGGGGCCGTAAGGGAGCGCGACGGGCCGCTAAGGGCAGGGGACGCGACGGGAGGGCAGGCACACGGGGCGCGACTCGGGCAGGGGCAAAGCGCGCTCCGGGCAGGAAAAAAAAGTCGATTTTCGGTGGGCCCTAGGAAACGTTCCCACTAGCGAACCTGCTCTATACCATGTGAAAGAACGAGGAGTGAATGCACTGGCAAACAGGTGGGTACAAGTAGGAAAACCTAAAAGTGTTGTACCCCATATTGTCTACCCACTACAGCCTACACAGACTATAGCATATAAGTTTGACACGTTTCTTTATATTTTGTCAAGGGGCACAGAACCCAAGAAGCTGCCTGCCATTATTGGGTTGTAGAAAATTCTCCTGCATTTGACTACGGTACGTATTGCCTGCAGGGCCCTAGATATCAGACTTTGGAGTCTGATTCAGAGTCCGTTCAGACTTTTTTTTTGTACCTAGTCTGAACTCAAAGAATTTTTTTATGCACCCTGTCTGATTTTTCAGAGTTTTTTTAACTGACTAGTCTGAAATTTCAGAGTAGTCATAGTTGTTGGGTGCAAAATAATTATTTTTGGCACGTCAACCAGCCGCCTGCGTCGCATTTTGCATTTTGTGTGTGTGCACATTTTTCATTTTCATTTTGTGAACGTTCTGTGCGCATTTGTTCTTTGTGTTTCGTTTTCATTCGTAATTGCATTTTGTGTTTGTGCATCTTCAGTTTCGTTTTCACTGTTCTCATCAAGCTCCCATGAAGCGCTCAAATGAGACCCTCATGATGCCCTCAAATGAGCTCACGCGAAGCTCTCAAATGAGGCTCAAATGAAGATATTATGGAGCTCAAATGTAGCACGCATGGGACTTCAATTTTTCATGCGAGGCTCATGCGAGCGACCATGAAAGTCCCATGAGTCTCGAATTCTCATGCGAGGCTTATTCGGGTTTCATGCGAGCGGGTGGTGTACTGAGGGGTGCTCGGTTGTTTGACTGGTCAAGGGGGGTGCCTTGACTTTTTCGCGCGGGTCAACAGCGCGAAAGTCAAGACCCGATCGTGGGTCAAGGCACGCGCGTGTGGGACCACAGGGCACGCGCGTGTGCCGAGTACTGTTGTGAGCGCGCTGTACAGCACGATCGCAACAAGACAGGGCACGTTTCGGCCCTGTCCCGCACTGTACACGCGCATGATTGCGATCATGCCGCGCTGTACAGCACGACCGAGAAAAAAAATCTCGATCGTGCGTGTGGCACGAGGGGGTGCTCGGGATTACAGTTGAAAAACTGTATCCCGTGCTGACTCACGGGAATCGAGATTTCTCGCGAAGGTAATTCCGCTTTGCGGAATCATTTCGACACAGGTGCAATTCGGTTACTCCGTTTTTCAAACGGTAAAAACCGTTGTATAGCTGTGAGCTCGCATGAAGACATTTGAGCTACATTGGAGCCACATGCGAGTCTCATGACTGTACACATTTGAGTCAGCAGGGGCAATTGTTACAAGTGCAATTTGAAGACAGTTTTAACAACAGGAGGATATAGCCAAGTGCTCAAGGAGTTGTGCAACCGTTTTCAAGATACAGCTTGGCGAAATCCTGCGAGCTAGTTAAACAACTGTTTTCTAGTTGCTCCTGCCTGTGCGTAGAATCTATATAAATGTGTGCTTGTACCTGTCGAAATTAATCTAATGCATTCGCGTTTTTCAAGCTCACAATTCTACTACTTCGTATTGACGAGAGTAGAAAGATTACCTTGGTGCTGCCGAAATTCTCCTCGACCAGCTTGCTCGTCCTACAAGCTGAGCAAGGCATAACTACTCACTTGCTATTTTCACGCCCTTGGCTAGGAGGTGACAAGCTGTCACACTCGAAGGGCTGCAAGTGAAGTTAAGTGTTGCCAAGCAAAGTTTGTATTTCAAGCACTAATCGCTTCCGCATAACGTTATAGCTGTTAACAATAGTAGTGCACGCTGAGCCTCAGACTTGTATCGGGGGTCCACTCTGAACCCAGTTATACAGGGGTTTCCGCCAGCCTGAATGAAAGGTTATCGGAACAAAACTTCCTCGAAACTTCTTTTCGATACACCCACGTGTGTACGGGCCAGCACTAACGATTTCCTCCGGATGAAACTGCTCGAGTAGGGGCACCAGAATACACTACTTTGTCGACGCTATCACGAGAGTGGAATTTATTGGGGGCTTATAAAAACCCTTAAATTGTGAAACTAGATAGTCAATCGCACATGGCCAAAACGATTTTTGCGAATCGCACATGGCGAAAAGCGAATTGGTGCAAACGAAAGCCTTGTCACATATGAGTCTCGTACTTCAGCAGAACCGCACATCATTTCCCTTGCCAAACCGAGTCAAAATTTCGAAACTGCAAATTTAGGAGAAAATATTCCGCGCACATACGGTGTACACAGTTGAAAACTTTTGCTGCTGCCAGCGCGCCCAGCACAAAAAATTGCCGAGCGATACCATGCCTGCTGCCAGGTCAGCTGATTGTGAGCTTGCCACACTTGGCACTTGCACGAGGCCATTGTCTGATGCCCACACCTCGACCCTGACTGCTCAGTGTTCCTAACTCTTGAAAAATGACCAATCAGAGTGCCCCATTTCTGGCCGCACAATTGCGTTGGTATGCTGTAATCAGCTTCAATGCTATTATAACTATGCTGCTATGAAACTGCATGAACATCTTAAAATTTGAAGTAACTCTGATAGTTCAGACAAAAAAAGTTGTGCTTGTCTGAATTTTCAGACAGGTAACTCTGACAGCCAGACTAGGAAGAGGGGTGTACTCTGAGGCGTCAGACTACCTCAAAACGAATCTAGGGGCCTGATTGCCTGCAGCCTGGCTTCATGAGGGAAGAGTGGGAGTGAGATGGTGGTGGGAGTGGGATGGTGGTGGGAGAGTTGCGGTGAGAGTGAGATGGTTTAGAATGGGGTGGTTTGAGTTCTCGGCATGGCAGTACCAACGGGTTGGACTGATGCATGTATCGCCTATTTCAACCCGAACGACCGCCTCCCCCTTCCCCCCAAAACCTTTCCCCCCACACCAGAGGTGTCTGAACGGCATGATCCAGACGGCACGATCCAGAGTGCCGTCTGTTACACCCACCTCCGTGGCTGACAGAAGGGAGGGTGGTTGGGCAGTGGTTGCCCCCCCTCCTCCTCCCAAACCCCCTCTTGCGCCTGGCCCCTTGCGCCTCGCATCTCCTTTGCACCTAACTGCTGCTTCTCCCTTCATTCTTCATCTTCTTCTATCTCGCTCAGCCTGTGTGGGGATGCGCTGCCTTCCTCTTCCCCCTCCCCATCCATCTGCCCCCCTCTGTCCTCATCAATCACTTGGCCCCTCCAATCACTCTCCAATATTCTCTTCCCCCTCTCTCATGCCCATCCCCTCTATCCATACTGCCTACTGCGTCACCCCCTCCGGCCATGACTGCCTCTGTCATAACAGTCCTCAGCAGGCTGCCTTGTGAGTGTGTGGGAGATGGGCGAGAGGCATGAGGTGGCACGCTCCACCTACCCCTGCTGTTACAGCTGTCTCCCTTGCTCTGCTTCCTCAGGAGGCTGAGCACCCCATCGGTGTGTGGTGAGGGCAATGCAAGCACACCTCACAACCCGGCCCGGCCCTTCCTGAGCATCCATCTGTCCGTTTATTCCCCTCCTCCCCACCACTCACACACCACTTGCCTCCCGTTCCACCTGCCCCTCCTGCCACAGTCGCGTCCCACCACTCACGTACCCGCTGCTCCCTACCCCTCTGGCTCTTCCTTCCCCTCCTGCCCTCCCTGCCCCTCCAACCCTTCCTGCCCCGCCTGCACCTCTTCCCTCTTCCCCTCTCTGCCTCCAGAGCATTGTGCGCCAAGGGGGGATATGCATGAATGTGGGCGGGTCACGTGGGGAGAAGGATTTTGCTGCTAGCGAGTCACTACTGTCGTGCAAAGCAGTCTTGAAGGTGGGGCCAACTGATTTGTGCCTTGCACAAGAAAGAGCAACTGCAAGGCAGCCACAACCTTCCACTTCAGATTCCACCTCATCGTTTTGCTTAAATGTGGCCTCGACCTTAAATGTGGGGAGTATGTGGGAGTGTGCTTCTTCGCTGCAACTGCATACTCCCCACATTTGAGTTTGAGTCAATACTTGATAGGAACCAGGATCAATAACACACATACCTTTAAGCCAACGCAAAAGTACTTGAAAGAACTGGCATCTACACTCGCGATTTTCAGTTCCCCTCACCCCTTTTCCCTCTATCCGCCTGGTGACCTTGACCAGCCCCTCAGTCCTCACTGCAAGAAGAACCCATCTTGTCACAGCCGTTTTCCCCCCACCCCACTCTGCCAGTACTCACCACAGTCAACCACCATTCCACCTGCACCTGCACTCGCCTTGTATCACGGCTGCATGCACAGCGCAGCAGCACCTGCTAGAATGGATGTGAGGAGGGCTGCGTCAAGAGCGCCTTGGGGAAGGTGCCGTGGGGGGTGAGAGGAGGGGGGGGAGGCGAGAGGGTGGAAGGAAGGGTGGGGTGGGTGCGCGGAAAACTTACGTGCAGTTGCCTGCAAGAATGGGCGAGAGTGCGACCGCCAGGGAGACAGGGCGGACACGGAAGTGGGGGTTGGGACTGGTGGTTAGGGGTGGTTTGAATGATGAATGCTGCGTACGCGACGACAGAACTTCAGTAAGGTCTAAAAATTCCAAGAAATGCGTACCGTGGGGAGAAACAATGTTTGAGAATTCAAAACATTATCTACCTTCCACCGTCCTCTCCCACACACGGCCCTCCCAGCACCACACACTTGACTCTCCCGGCTGCTCACCGTCTGCCCTCTGCCATCCCCTTTCACCATGCATTTGTGGATCACAGCAGCACCATCATGTGGGGATGGGAAGAGGATGCATCGCTTGCCCCCCTTCAGCACTGCCAGCACCTGCCGCCGCATCGCACCCTGCATGCGGAAAAGATCAATGTTTCCTTGAGCCCTGCCCGCCTGCCCCACCTCCTTCAACCCTGCTAGCATGCGCCGCCTCATAGCTCCCTGCTCCCATGCGTCGTTGCGGGGGGTATGGGGAGGGAGAGGGGGATGGGGAAGGAGAGCGTGAAGGATGGGGAGGGAGAGGGGGATGGGGGGGATGTGCCGCCTTATAGCTCCCTGCTCCCATACGTCCTTACCCTGAGGTCCCCGTCTCCCTATGCACCCCCTTCCTCCTCTCCCATCCACCCCTCCCCCATCTCCCCCTTATCCCCCACTCGCGCTGCTGCCCACGCACTCGCGCTGTCGCCCTCGATTTTGCTCGCGAGCCTGTCTCACAGCACCACCGTGCGTTTCAAGCGGCTCACTCGCTTCTGCTTCGGTGTCCGCCTCTCCTTCCCCCGTTTCACACCCATGCTCTCCCACGTTGCCGCATTCACCTGCACCCGCCCTCTCCCATGCGGCCCACTTTGTTCCCCCAATCGCGCCACCCCTCGAGCCCCTGGCACGCGCTCTCCCAGCTTTCCTCTCTCCCGCCCTTCTCCCGTCCCCCGCCCTCCTGCTTTGCCTCCTGCTCCCCCTTCTCCCACCCCTCGCCTCGTCTCCGCCAAACCCAACCCACGCACGCACGCCCGCATCCTAACTTCCCGCTTCCCGCTCTGCGGCGCGATCGCCCGTCACTGCTGCCCCCATCAGCGCTCCCCATCCTGCTGCTCTGCACGGTGCACAAACCTACTGCCGCGGACTCTCGAGGAGGCGGCGGCAGAGGTGAGAGTGCATCGGGGATGGCGGCAGTTGAGAAGTGATCCAGGCGGATCGCGACCGGCGCGGGATTCCACCGCCTCTTCGCGCCGCCGCCTTCGGGCTGTGCTGCTCGCAACGACACTGCGGTTGGGAGCCTCCCCTGCGCGCGTGCTTGATCCACCCGCCATTGCCTCTTCTCCTCGCGCATCTGCTGCGACGGCTCTACGCATTTGCGAAAAGGTTTTTGTCGGTTAGTGTCCGTTATCTACTGCATTTTCCCGCCGTCGACGGTCGCTCTCTCGTCGCAGTCCGTCACTCTCTGGTCGCAGTCTGTCGCTCTCTTGTCGCAGCGATCTCTTGTCGCGGTCCGTCGTTCTCTCGTAGCAGTCAGTCGCTCTCTCGTCGCCGTACGTCGCGCCTGCCTCGCCTGTCTGTCGCTCTGACGCAGTAGCGTTTGCGCCGCTAGGCGCTCCTAAGGTTTCCGACAGAATCTAGCACGCGGCCCGTGTTTGGCATATCCCTGCTGGACATAATCTCCGCTACTTCAAGGGATGTGACTAGGTCTGCAGCGATTGAGAAACAAATTGTTATGAGCCGCGGTTTTGCAAACCTGAAAACTACAGAACTGAATGCCCTAGGGATGTCTAAAATGACGAATAAATAGGCAGAGCCGAGCTAGGCGAGATCCGCGGAGAAACGAGGCTCCGAGGTGCGGTGGCGACTCGGAACTGGTTTGGAGCGCGGATGCTGGCCGAACCAGCTGACGCGAACTCGTCGGAAGATAAAAGCTATTGTTAGCCTACAGTTGATTTCATAATTCTTACACAAACTTGACAGAATGAAGTTCTGAAATAACTTTATCTTATTTCTACACAAATGCCACAAGCTCCCTCTCCAAGTTCAACCATCATGGGTAGAAACACGCACAAAACTAACCCCTGCAGTATACGGTAATTACATAATTTATTAATACTTTTGTAACAATTTATGAACGAATGGGCGCGCAGCGCAATACAACCCAAACTGCCCTCATTGAGTTGTTGGTGATACTCTCCCGCATGACTCCGCATTTGACCGTAGTAAGTCTTGGCTGCAGCCTGCCAGGCTGCCTCGACCTCTTGCTTCCCCACCAGGCTTCGTTTCCAGCATGGCAGAGATGGTGGTGGGAGTGAGAGGGCTGTAGGAGTGAGAGAGCCGATGGGAGAAAGAGGGCGCTTGTTGCCAAAACACTTCCGTCGTTCCTGCATAGCAAAGGTGGTGGTGGGAGCGAGATGGTGGTGGGAGGAGTGTGTTGGTTGTGGGAGTGTGGCAGCGATATCAGTGAGTTCTCTGCACTGAAGTACCGTCCGGTGGAACGGATGCTTTCATCCCAACACTTGTACATTATGAGCAATGCGATGACAGGAACACTTGAACAGAGCCGGAGGAAGGAGGAAACAGCAGAGATGATTGGGAAGCTTGCAAGTACGAAGGACATGGTAGTGAGATGAAGTGAGGAAGAGGATCAAGAGAGCTTCAGACCAGACCAGGGGGGAAATTGACGGAGGAAAGGGCGAACGAGGGCTCGAAGGCCGTTCTTCCTGTTGGGGGGGGGGGGGGGGGGGGGGGGGGGGGGGCAGTTAAACACACTGAGAGATGGGAGGCAGAATGCCCTTCTCTGCCCCCATCCATCTACCCTCTCTCTGCCCATCATCTCCAAATCCATGTGCCTCCACAAACCCCTATGCCCCGACACGCGCACCATCAACACCGCTCTGCACCGCATCACGGTGCATTAAGCCCCTGCAATCATGATAACCGCATGCACCATCAAGAGCGCTCTGCACAGCATCACTCTAAAAACTGCCTCATCATATCAAGTTGCCCCCTGCAGTCACGTGCCATCTCCTCGCCCTCCCTCATGCACATCACTTCCCTCCATTACCTACTGCCTCTTCCCCCGCCGCTTGCTGCTGTCACAGCCACTGCCAGAACGCTTCTCATCAGGCTGCATGCTCTGTGAGTGTCTTTGAGACCCCTCACCACACCAAATGAGTGCGACGGAGATGGGCGAGAGGCAGGAGGTGAGCACAAGGAGGAAGACAGGCCAATGCAAGCACGCTCCGTCTGCCGCTTGTGCTACAGCTCTCTCCCCAGCTCTGCCTCCCCCTCCTGCCATAACTGCCTGCCTCTGCCAGACCGCTACACAGCAGGCTGTGCATCCCAGCAGCTGTGCATCCCAGCAGCTGTGCATCCCAGCAGCTGTGCATCCCAGCAGCTGTGCATCCCAGCAGCTGTGCATCCCAGCAGCTGTGCATCCCAGCAGCTGCGCATCCCAGCAGCTGTGCATCCCATCTATGCGTGGAAGGGGATTCCTGCCCAAAGCACCAACTTTCTCACGCCTTCCGTCAGCAGCCTGTGCATCCCAATTGTTGTCCAGAATAGCCACGGCACTCACCCGACAGCACGGGGGATTTGAAGCCTGGAGGCATGGGAAAAGTGCGAGAGGCGAGGAGACGATGAGCATTTAGGTGCAAGCACAGCCTGTGCATCCCAATCGTTGACCAGTGCAAGCACAGCCTGCGCATCCCAATCGTTGACCAGTGCAAGCACAGCCTGTGCATCCCAATTGTTGACCAGTGCAAGCACAGCCCTGTCACCGTCCAGAAAGGCTGTGGAACTCATGCAGCAGTTCACTCCCTCATCGGGCAGTTTAGCGCCCGAAAAGGGAGGCATGGATACCATAAGGGACAAGGAGAGAGCGAGGGCAATACAGGGAACGGGAAAGGAGGTGAGGACGAGTGAGTGCAGGGCACTGCAGCGCAGGGATGCAAGCAGAAGACATGAGGTGTAGATGAGTTCAGGGAAAGGGAAAGAGGAGAGGAGAGAGTGAGGCCAGTGCAGTGCAAGAACAGCCCACAGTCGGCACTCACCTTAGCCTGCACTCACCTTAGCCTGCACTCACCTTAGCCGGCACTCACCTTAGCCGGCACTCACCTTAGCCTGCACTCACCTTAGCCGGCACTCACCTTAGCCTGCACTCACCTTAGCCTGCACTCACCTTAGCCTGCACTCACCTTAGCCGGCACTCACCTTAGCCGGCACTCACCTTAGCCTGCACTCACCTTAGCCGGCACTCACCTTAGCCGGCACTCACCTTAGCCTGCACTCACCTTAGCCGGCACTCACCTTAGCCGGCACTCACCTTAGCCTGCACTCACCTTAGCCTGCACTCACCTTAGCCTGCACTGACCTTAGCCTGCACTCACCTTAGCCGGCACTCACCTTAGCCGGCACTCATCTTAGCCTGCACTCACCTTAGCCTGCACTCACCTTAGCCTGCACTCACCTTAGCCGGCACTCACCTTAGCCGGCACTCACCTTAGCCAGCACTCACCTTAGCCGGCACTCACCTTAGCCGACACTCACCTCACCTTAGCCGGCACTCACCTTAGCCGGCACTCACCTTAGCCGGCACTCATCTTAGCCGGCACTCACCTTAGCCGGCACTCACCTTAGCCGGCACTCACCTTAGTCGGCACTCACCTTAGCCGGCACTCACCTTAGCCGGCACTCACCTTAGCCGGCACTCACCTTAGCCGGCACTCACCTTAGCCGGCACTCACCTTAGCCGGCACTCACCTTAGCCTGCACTGACCTTAGCCTGCACTCACCTTAGCCGGCACTCACCTTAGCCGGCACTCATCTTAGCCTGCACTCACCTTAGCCTGCACTCACCTTAGCCTGCACTCACCTTAGCCGGCACTCACCTTAGCCGGCACTCACCTTAGCCAGCACTCACCTTAGCCGGCACTCACCTTAGCCGACACTCACCTCACCTTAGCCGGCACTCACCTTAGCCGGCACTCACCTTAGCCGGCACTCATCTTAGCCGGCACTCACCTTAGCCGGCACTCACCTTAGCCGGCACTCACCTTAGTCGGCACTCACCTTAGCCGGCACTCACCTTAGCCGGCACTCACCTTAGCCGGCACTCACCTTAGCCGGCACTCACCTTAGCCGGCACTCACCTTAGCCGGCACTCACCTTAGCCGGCACTCACCTTAGCCGGCACTCACCTTAGCCGGCACTCACCTTAGCCTGCACTCACCTGAGAAAAGGGAGATGTGAGGGGTGCAGGGCGGAGAAAAAGAAGGGGGGTGTGGGGGGAGGAGGGGCGACGTGGAGGGCGAGGGTAAGGGCAGAGGGCGTGAGGGGCGGGGGATTGGGCGGACGAGATAACACGGGGATTGGGGGGATGGGGAGTTCGAGGGGGGATGGGGAGGGGAAAGGGGGGATGATAAGGGGGAAGGAGGTACCTCCTTAAACCCCTGCAAGCCTTATCACTGTCTTCTCCCATTCGGGAAGGGAAGGGGAATGGGAGGGGGAACGGGTGAGTGGGGATATGCCCCTGAAGCAACCGCAGCGTAGCAGCGACTGCAAGGGAATTGTGACGCCAAGACACTGATAGAGAGATGATCTAAGGTAGGAAAATCTGAGCTCACCTTGACAGCGACTGGCAGGGTGCGATGGAGCCCCGGACCTGGTGGTGTGTCAACTCAAGGCCAAACGGCCCAGCCTGAGGTGAGGTGGATAATGAGGCTCATTCTGGTGGAGTTGACATGATTGCACGGCCTTGCCAGGGCTTACCTACAGGTTGACCACTCACATACAGGGCGACTCACTATGAAAGGGGCTCACGTTGAAAGCCCTGACTTGGAATCGCAGCAGCTCCGCTGACGTACCTGGGGGTGGGGGGCCGGGGGGCAGAAGGGGGAGAGAGTGAAAGACAGCAGGGAGACGTGGGAGAGAGGGGAGGGGGTTGAGCCCTGTGTGGCCACCAAAGTGTTCGGCAGTGTTGAATGGTGTTGAATGGTGTTGAATGGTTTTGAATGGTGTTGAATGGTGTTGAATGGTGTTGAATGGTGTTGAATGGTTTTGAATGGTGTTGAATGGTTTTGAATGGTGTTGAATGGTGTTGAATGGTTTTGAATGGTTTTGAATGATTCACTGAGTTAGCCCTTCCACTGCGCTGCAGTCTTGCCCTCTATTCTCCTCCCCTTCCTTCTCCTCCTCTCCCCATTTCTCCCCTCCCTTCTCCTCCCATTCCTTCCCCTCACCTCCCTTCTCTTCTCCATTTTTCTCCCCTTGTCACTTGAGCCTTCCCTCGTCCCTTTTCTCCTCGGTTTCTTCTCCCTCGCCTACGCAATCGTCTCCCATCCACCTCTCGCTCCTTCACTCTCCTCTCTCCTCCCTGCTCCCCCTCCCTCGCAACTCCCATGTCCTCCGACCACCCCCCCCCCCCCGCCTTCCCCCCTCTCGCATCTCTTTCCTCCGATTCCCTCCTCGGCTCTCTCTCCTCTGCCCCCTCCCTCCGCTCTCCCTTCGGCTCTCCCAACCCCACCGTTGTGCCAGCACCACCATGCGTTTCATGCGCCTCACTCGCTTCTGCTTCGGAATCTGCATCTCCTTCCCCCGCCTCACACCAATTCTCTCCCACGTTGCCCTATTCACCCGCACCAGCCCCCCCTCCCCCTCTCCGCGGTTTCCCCCGCTCCCCCACTCGTGCCCCTCTACCCTCCCCCACTCGCCTGGCCCCTCTTGGAGCCCTTGGAGCAAAATCTCGCCCCTTCCCTCTCTCCCGCCCGTCCCCGCCCCTGAGCCTGCCCCGTCTGACCTCTCCCCCATCCTGCTCCGCCCCTTACTCCCGCGTCTCCCGCCCCTTGCCTAGTTTCCGCCAAACCCAAGCCACACGCGCCAGCACCCCCCCTTCCCCTTCCCCAATCCGCACCCCCCTCAGTGGCGCTCAGTGGTGCTCAGTGGTGTTCAGTGGACTTTGGTGGCGAGTGAACGATAGCAAGTGACTTGTTCCACGCCACTGTATGCTGTCAATTGAATTCGCCTTTTATTCTGCCTCAAGACTATGTAAACCCCGCCCTCCCATCCTCCCCCCGCCCTCAAGACTATGTAAACTCTCAAAACTCCTCGCCTCACCTGCTGCATGCCTCACCTGCTGCATGCCTCACCTGCTGCATGCCTCCACTAAGTGGTCGGCTGAGTTTGCCTCTTCTCCCCCCCCGCCGCTTTCTCTTCTCAAATGGTCCTTTGTATGAATTCAGCAGGGGGTTCCCTTAGACCTTGCGACCCATGAACCCATCCCTCTGATCCTCTCCCCCCCCCTTAGTGCCCCTCTACCCCTCCAGCATGTGGAGGATGTTCCCTAGGTGCAGCGGCCATGGGTCCGCTGCCATCTGGGGGTGCGCTGCCTCAATCCCCGCCCTGGCCTTGGTGTGCAGGGCATTCGCCTGGGAGCGCTGGAGGGCCACTGCCCAGCGCTGGCTGAATTGGCAGGCCATCTTCTTGGCGGATTTCGCCAAGGGGTTGGCCCTGAAACGGTTCCTAGCTGCTGCTGTGGCCAGCAGCTTCAGGAACGCCGTCGTGGGGGGCGCGTTTGCCTCGTAGGTCTCGACGGCCAGGGCGCAGAACACCACGTGTTCTGTGTGCCGGTAGTAATCCCTTTCCTTCCGTTTCTGTGCCTCCCTTGCAGCCCAGCCTGGAGTTTTGCAGGCTGCGAGGTCTCGGTTCTGTAGCACAGGGTCAGTGATAGTCGTGTCTGTGATCCAGGTCTCTCCACTGTCTGGGTCGTGTACAATCACATCGGCTTTCTTCGGGTCATCTGGCGGTGAGTACATTGCATTCTCCAGGTATACCACCAGCTGCGCGTCCCTCGCCATTTTTGCCACGGCGAAGGCCAGCTGGTTGTGTGTGCGTGTTCTGTCGGGGCCTGTGCTGCAGCGGAGTAGATGGTTGGGTAGGCTGCAGTCGGCTACGAGCTCTCCACACTCGCACACGGTGGGTACATTCTGTCGGATGCCCATCCGGAAGGCCATGGCTGTTCGGAATTGGCATGAAAAGCAAAGGTCTGGAGTCAGGGGTAAGGCCTGCAGCCACGCTCCCGCTCCCTCGCCTCTCAGGCTGACAAGGCGGAGCGTGTGGCCCATCTCGGGGGCTGACCGAATTGTTCATGACTCTTCTGTCAGGGCGTCGGCCTTTGCCGCGTGCACTTCCTGAGAGAGGGCGCGCTGCAGCTGGTCTTGGGACGGGGTTTGCTGCTCCTCGCGGAGGTTTTGCAGCGCCAGCGGTGGCAGTCGTCCCTCCATGTCTTGGATGGTGACCGAGTGCGCTGCTGACGGCTGCAGGGCGTTGCTGTTGCCCCCTAGCGCCGCGGTTGCTAGGAGGTCAAGGGATCGGAGCAGGCGTAGCGCCTTTGTTGTCGAAGCCAGGTAGGCTGGTGCTGCTTCTGTTGTGGGGTCCGTGAGGCCCAGTCCGCCTAGGGCTACTGGGAGGGTTGCTTGACGGAGGAGGAAATTGAACTCGGCTTCACGGCGGGGTGGTTGAATGCTGGCGGCAGTCAACGCGGTGTTGAGCAGTTCAGAGCACCATGCGTGCCATTCCGAGAGAGGCAAGACGTCTGCTGGGGTGGCGCGCAGCAGGTAGCCGATTCTGCGGCTGACGCAGCGAGACAATAGCAGGAGGGTATGTTGCGGGTGGATGGACGCTAAGGAGCCCAGGGATGCCGCCGCGTCTGTCAGGGTACTGCGGACGAGGTCAGAGCAGAAGCTCTGTGACCCCACAGGGCTTCCCAACACCTGGACCCCCTCGTGGGTGAGGGGAAGGCCCTCGGGGAGCTCGTCACCTTCTCCACTCTTCTCCTTCTCTTCCTTCCGCTCCCCTTCCTTCACTTCCCCCCCCTGTTCCTCCCCTCCCTCCTCTCCTCCCTTCCCCCCCCCTTGCCTTCGCATGCCCACTCGTTCCCCACCCACCTGCCTCCCATCCACCTCCCCCTCACTCTCACATCCATTCCCATCCTTTCTCTCCCATCCTAGTCCGCTTCTGCCACTCTTCCCGCCCTCCCATCCTTCACTAAGTGGTCGGCTGAGTTTGTCTCTTCACCTCGCTGCCTTGTTACCATCTCTTCTCCCCCCCCCCCGCCTCTTTCTCTTCCCAGCTCTCCTCCTCCTCTTCCTTCCGCTCCCCTCCCTTCACTTCTCCCCTTTTTTCCTCCCCTCGCTGCTCCTCCCTTCCCTTCTCTCCCCCCTTCCCCCTCTCTTGCCTTCGTATGCCCATTCGTTCCCCACCCACCTGCCTTCCATCCACCTCGCCCCTCCCTTGTACTCCGCTTCTGCCACCCCCCCCCCCCTCCCATTCCCCCCCTGCACTCCATCCCATTCTCCCCCTGCACTCCATCCCATTCTCCCCCTGCACTCCATCCCATTCTCCCTCGCCTCCGTCATCTAGCCTGCTGCCCTTCTCTCTCCCCATCTCCCCTCCATCCCATCCTCCTCTCACTCCCCCCTCGCCTCTCCCACCACCACCGCTGAGCCAGCACACATTCCTGCACGCCTCTCATGCTCCACCCATCCCATGCCTCCTCCATTCCTCCCACCATCGCCACACCTCCCACCTCCTCCTTTCCTCCCACCCACCATAGCCATAGGTCCCTCTTCCCCACACCGGCTCACTTGCTTAAGCTTTGGTGTCTGCCTGTCCTTCCCCCACCTCACACCTATGCTCTCCCATGTCGCTAGATTTACGCAAACTCGCCCTTCCCCGCTGGCTCTCCCTCGAGCCCCAGCCCACCCCCCCTCGTCCCCCCCCCTCTCGCTTCTGGCGCATGATTTTCCTACTTCCCCCTCTCCCGCCTTTCCTCACCTCTCCGCCTGCCCCACCTCTGCTCTCCTGCTCCGCCCCCTGTTCCGCCTGCTCCCTCGCCTCGCGTCTGCCAAACTCAAACCACACGCGCCCGCATCCCCCTTTTTCCCTCCCCTCCCTGCGCCTCCCCTCCCTGCTCCGCCTCCCCTTCCCCCCCTGCACAGCCGCCCCTCACTCCTGCCCCCATCTGCGTTGCCCCTCCCACTGGCGCGCAAATATCCGCGCACTTTCGCGGAGGCGGCGATAGAGGCGCGCGCGCAGCGGGAGTGGCGGCGGTGGCGGGGAATTGATCCAGGCTTCCACCGCCTCTTCGCGCTGCCGCTGCTCCGGCCTGTGCTGCTCGTAGCGACGTGCAGCCTCCGCCGTTGTCGCGGCTGGAAGCCCCGCCTCTGCGCCCGTGCTTGCCCCCGCCAACCACTTCTGCTGCTCCTCGCACCGCTGCATTTCGCGGTTCTCCGCCACCGCGATCCGGTTTTTATCGTTATCGCCGTTCACTGTCGCTCTCTCATCAGCTACTGTTCCTTTTTCGCCGTCGACAGTCGCGGATTTGTCGTCGTCCGTCGCTCTCTCGTCGCCCTATCTGTCGCTTCGACGCGACTGCTATCGAGCCACTATCTAGTGCAACACTGTTCTGCCCTCTCAGCTCTCATTCCCTGATCTTGAACGCAGGTCGGGTCTACCCCATCCCAAAAATGGGGGGTTCCGAGAAGTAGGGTTTCGGAAAGTAGGATTTAAAGCGACGGTGCACATTTGCCACCCAAAACCCAGAACCCTGGCGAACTGTTACTGCGGATGGAAAGTGTCCGCACGAAATCCTGGTTTTCGCCAGCCAGCACTTTCGCGCTGGCAAGCCTGGTTCAAAAAAAAAACTTCTGAACCCAACACTGCCAAAAGTTGCCCGTCGCTTTAAGTAACAGTTCGATCTAAGTGGGGAAAGATGCTTTCGACGCATCGCGTCGAACAGAAACCAGGGTACGCAGCTTGGGAAAACTCGAATTTGCTTGGGCAGCTAGGACCTCAGCTTCGGAAATCTCCCCAATGGTCGAGTGACTAGGTTTGCAGGTTCGGGGCCAATATCAACTTCGGGAACCTTGTAGGAATAGTGTGCTGGAGTTCCATTGGCTCTAGGTGTCGATAGAATCTGTTGAGTTGGCGATTTCAAGATTGCAATAATGTCATCTGAGTGTTTCTGGCATCATTCAATTCTTCTCATATAGCTTTTGTTATGAACACTTCAGATTAATGACATAAATAATATCTTCAGTTTTGTCTTCCTAAGGACCATTTTTTTTTTAGAGGGCCCACCGTTTAGCTTTTTTCCTGCCCAAAATCTGCCCGTTTAGCCCGCGAACCGCCCGAGCATAGACCGTACAGCCCGCGCCCGGCCCGTTTAGCCCGCGAACTGCCCGAGCGTGGACCGTACAGCCCGCGCCAGGCCCGTTTAGCCCGCGAACCGCCCGTGCGTAGCCCATACAGCCCGCACGCCGCCCTCGCGCAGCCCATACAGCCTGCGCGCCGCCCGTGTACACCCCGCGCACGACTAGCACGCAGCCCGCACGGCCCGCGCCAGGCCAGCGCGCAGCTAGTACAGCCCGCGCTAGGCCCGCACGTAGTTTGTACAGCCCGCGCCAGGCCCGTGCGCACCTGCCCTGCCGCCCGTGCACTTGCACTGGCCCTACACCTCGCCGGCCCGCTTTCCCTACTGCCCTACATCTACTGCACTACTGTCATTGCACTGCACAGTGTAGTGCCAGCAAGCGCGACTGCCCTGCCCTGCCTGCACGTGTAAGCACTGGCCGCGCCTCCTTGCCCTACTGAGCGGCGCCCTGCACTGCCCTGCTGGCCTGCACCGCCCTGCACCGCCCTGCACTGCCCTGCTGGCCTGCACTGCCCTGCACTGCTGGCCCGCACTATTGGCCTGCACTGCCCTGCACTGCTGGCCCGCGCCGCCCTGCCCTACTGAGTGCCGCCCTGCACTGTCCTGCTGGCCTGCACTGCCCTGCTGGTCCCTGCACTGCTGGCCTGCACTACTGGCCTGCTCTGCCCTGCACTGCTGGCCCGCGCCGCCCTGCCCTACTGAGCGCCGCCCTGCACTGCCTTGCTGGCCTGTACTGCCCTGCTGGTCACTGCCCTGCGGGCCGCCCTGCACTGCACTGCCCTGCTGGCCGCGCCGCCCTGCCCATGCTGGCCGCACCGCCCTGCCTGAGCGCCGCTAACAGTCGCGCCACCCTGCCCTACTGACTGCCGCCCTGCCCTACTCCGCGCTACTGCTCTGAGAGTCGCCCTGCTGGCCACCGCCCTGCTTTGCCCTGCCTACGTGCTGCTCTGCTGCTAGCGCGCCCGTCCACTCTGCCCACTATGGCCACGCTCATTGTCCTCACGTTCGATCCGGAGGGCCGCCCGATAGAGTTCGATGCGTGGCTCGACGACCTACAGCTGTTCTTACTGAGCGATTCCAAGGACGGAGTCTCACTGTTTGACCTCACGGCTGGCGCCTCTCTCGCCCCTGCCGCCACAGCTGACAGTACGACTCGCTCACAGTGGCTTACTCATGACGCTGCTACTCGCTTAGCCGTTCGCAACCACCTGCCGTTAGCCGAACGTGCTCACTTCGGACAGCATAAGACTGCGAAAGCACTGTACGACGCTATAGTCGCTCGTTACTCCTCCCCGGCCACTGCTTCTCTAGGCCGCCTTCTCCTGCCCTACGTCCGCCTTTGCCATAGTAGCCGACCTCGTCACTCACCTTCGTACTAGTGACACTCGCTACCGCGCTGCGCTTCCCGCCGAGTTTCTCACCAAGAACCCTCCTCCCGTGTACATCACTCTCTACTTCATAGTCACCCGCCTCCCTGACTCTCATAGCACTGTCACAGACCTCCTTCTAGCCGTTGACCCCACCACCCTCACTGTCGACCTGCTCAAGAAGCACCTCCATGCAGCTGAGACTTGCATAGTCGCTGTAGGCGCTTCTCGTGGCACTCCTCACACCCCCTTCTTTTAGGGGTGTTCGCCCTCCCCCCTTCTCCCATCAGTCGCCTCTGCTGCAGCTGTTGACTACCTTCGTGCTGAGGAGGTAGGAGCTGCGTCTGCCCCTAGTGGGAGGTGCCGCAGCGACAGGGGCAGGGGAGGCAGGGGCGATGGGGGCGGCAGAGGTGGAGGTGGTGGTGTGGGCAGGGGAGGCGGTGGAGGGGGCGGCGGTGGCGGAGGGAGTGGTGGTGGGGGTGGAGGTGTAGGTGGCGGCAGTGGTGGCGGCAGTGGCGGTAGTGGCGGCGGCAGTGGTGGTGGCAGTGGGAGTGGAGGCGGTGGCAGTGGTGGCGGCCATGGTGGTACGAGTCAGAGGGGAGGCCTGGGCGGGGGTTAGAGGCAGCAGCAGCGTCAACTTTCGCCCTAGGAGCTACGTGAGTGGTTTGCTCAGCGTGGGGCGGCTGGGGGTAGTGGTCCCTGCCCGTATGTCATTCGCACAGGTGACCGCACTAACCAGACATGTGGGAAGCTCCACACACAGTACCGCTGCTTCTCTCGTCTTACCGATGCCTTCCGCACGGAGTTTCCAGACGCGGCTGAGCTCCCCCGCTGGGCAGAGCTACTTAAGCAGGGTGTAAACATCTTTGCTCTTGATTATGATGCTATACTATCTGCCATGTATGCATTGACAGTTAGTGCAGAGGGTGACTGTTACCTGTGTATGCTGCCAGACCCATGTATAGAGGCTGCTGCTCTAGGTGCTAGTGAGTCTGCTGCTCTAGGTGCTGGTGAGTCTGCTCTCTCTGGCACTGCGTCTGCTTCGGCCTTGCACACCTTCACGCTTGACTCAGGTGCTTCACACTGTTTCTTTCGCGACAGTACCACAGTCACACCACTCTCTGCACCTGTTGCTGTCTCTCTGGCTGACCCCTTTGGGGGCCCAGTCCTTGCACGTTCCTCCACTGTTCTGCCTTGTCCGGCGGTTTCGTCTGGCTCACTGTCAGGTCTCCACCTCCCCTCGTTCTCTGCGAACTTGGTGAGAAACGCAGTCCTTCAGGAATAGTGGGTCGATACCTTCACCCCTGGAGGACAGTGTGTGGCGATCTGTACGTGCTCCCGGACTGGCAGGTGCCTGGCCACGTTCACCCGTCGGCCTGGGTCGAGTCTGTACACACTGAATACTGCGCCTCCTCAGGTAGCTGCGTCTGCGTCAGGTCAGCTTGCGGCCCCCTGCTCGTGTCGCGCCCTGTCGCACCAGACGCTCCTTTGGCACCACCGCCTTGGTCACCCCTCCGTGGCACACCTCCGTGGCATGCACTCCCGTCTCCTTGTCTTCGGTCTTCCCAGGTCTCTGCCTCCCCTCCCACCCTCGTCTGCCCCTCCCTGCCTTCCCTGTGTCGAGGGGCGGCAGCGCGCCGCTCCTCACTCCTCCTCGTTCCCCCCGACAGAGGCTCCCTTGAAGACTCTCCACATGGACGTGTGGGGCCCAGGCCGCGTCCGTGGACAGGGCCACAAGCGGTACTTTCTGCTGGTTGTTGACGACTACACGCGTTACACCACGGTCTTCCCCTTGCGCCGCAAGGGCAAGGTCCCTGATGTTCTGATCCCCTGGATCCGCGCTGTTTGTCTCCAGCTCCGCGAGCGATTCAAGACGGAGCTTCCTGTCCTGCGTCTGCACTCTGACAGAGGTGGTGAGTTTTCCTCCAACCTCTTCCAGGGCTTTTGTTGTGGGGAGGGCATTTGCCAGACGTTCACGCTTCCGGCCTCTCTGCAGCAGAATGGGGTTCCTAAGCGCCGCATTGGCTTAGTCATAGAGGTCGCTCGTACCTCCATGATCCATGCGGCTGCCCCCCATTTTCTATGGCCGTTTGCAGTCCAGTACGCTGCGCATCAGCTCAACCTCTGGCCGTGTGTCTCCTTGCCGGAGTCCTCGCCCACACTGCGTTGGACGGGGGAGGCTGGCGATGCGTCGGTGTTCCGAGTCTGGGGATGTTGTGCTTTTGTCCGTGATACCTCCGCGGACAAGCTCTCCTCCCGCGCCGTTCCCTGCGTCTTCCTTGGCTTTCCCTTTGACACGCATGGCTGGCAGTTTTACCACCCCACCTCGCGCCGTGTCCTGTCCTCTCAGGACGTCACGTTTGACGAGTCGGTTCCCTTTTACCGTCTCTTTGTTACGATAAGAATGTTACGATAAGAATGAATTGATAGAAAATGTGAAGTACAACCCTAGATATAGCAAACCCTAATCATGCAAGTAAGTAGAAACGTAACACCTAGACTAACCTAAACAACACATATAAAATATATGTTGACACACCCCCATAGTCTAGGTGACGGAAGTCCTGTAGAAACAACAAGAGCAAGCAACGGTCACAAGACCAGTCTACAAGAACAAGACAAATCTCAGGGTGGAGCTCAAAGTCACCACACACTCCGAGAGCAAGCAAGGGGCCACAAGGCCAGTCCACATGCAGGTATATAGCAAATATAAAGAGATGCAAGAGTACAAGACATGCAGAACAAGGCATCTCTAAGCAAGCAAGTGAGGACGGGCAGGCACAAGGCCAAGCTGGGTGCAGAAACGCTGGTGGTCACAAGGCGGCAACGCCTTGGTGAAGATATCTGCCGTGTTTGCCTCAGAGACCACACGTCGAACGAGTGCCTGTCCACGCTGCTGCAACTCACGCAGAAGGAAGTAACGAAGCTGGATGTGCTTCGCCTTCCCAACCAGTCGGGGCTCCTCACA